CTACAACACAGACATGAGGAGCCCTAAAGAGATCAGCTGCCTGCAGGTCACTTTGAATTACTCATTTCCAAGGAGAGTCTTCTTGGAAGCTCTCAGCAATGGCTGCATTTGGTCTTCGCTTTCCCTGGCTCTAGCCGTCTGTCTCTCTGTACCATGACTTCCCCCACCCCTGTGCCCTTTGTGATAGCCTCATAGCTCCTTATTCTTTAATGTACCAGGCAGTCACTGAGTGCCTGCTCTCTGCCAGGCCCTGTGCTCGATAAAGATAAAGAGAACAGTTCCTGCTTTAGAGGGCTTATGATCTAGTAGGCAGAGTTGAATGTCAAAAACAAATGCAACACAGGGTTTTACGTGCTGTAATCGTGAGAGCTCAGAGGAGGATGTTCTTGGCACTGAGCACTAAATGGTGTAACGCAGCCAAGATGCCTTCTCTAGGGCCAGCTTCCTGGAAGAAGCAGCCTGGAGTTGATAAAACAGCTTGGGCTTGTGTACCGTGCAGGGCTGCCATGAGCAGTGGCCAGGTTGTCCTGCACAAGGTGCTTGGCTGAGGGGGCGTGGAGACTGGAATCCAGCCACTTTGCTCGCTAGTGCAGTGCACCCAGATGAGGGGCTGTGTCTGTCCAGAGGAGGGGTGTGATTTTCTAACTCAGACAAAGGTGTCATCTGGGCTGGCACTGGTTCTGCTAACCACTTTATAGCTATAAAGCTTTTACACATGATATCTCGTTTGATGCTTTCAGCAACCACAGGCAATATGGCAAAGGACAGGTATCCTGTGTCCCAGAGAAGTTCAGTGACTTGCCTGGGGTCACAAGGCAAGTAAGTGACAGAGCCAGGATATCTGTGCTTCGTTCTCCCCCACTCATGTTATGCTGTCAGGCATGGAAGTGGGCAGAGTGTTCAGACGCTGCCGGATCCCCTTGCCCTGCTGCACATCTCACTGCAACTAATGAATTGCTAATACAATTTTCTAGATGATTTTATTTTCATAGTCCCACATTTTAATGTGTTTCCAAAAGCTAGCATTTATTTGCTTAATCTCCCAGTGTAATAGAATCTACCCTGACTTATCATACATGCAGACAATCAGCTAGGCAGAAACTATAGCAAATTGTTTAATGGCTCAGATCTAGTCTTGAGATTTTTAACTTGTGTGCACCAATAGCTTTTCCTGTGTCTCATCCACTTCTCTCCTGCCCTTCCTTCTTTCTTTTTTTTTTAAAGGTTTTATTTATTTTTAGAGAGAGGGGAAGGGAGGGAGAAAGAGAGGGAGAGAAACATCAATATATGGTTGCCTCTCATGTGGCCCTCACTGGGGACCTGGCCTGCAACCCAGGCATGTGCCCTGACTGGGAATTGAACCAGTGACCCTTTAATTTGCAGCCAGCACTCAATCCACTGAGCTATACCAGCCAGGGCCCTTCTTTCTATTTAAAATCTTTTTCCATTCCCTCATCTGTTGGTGTTCAAACACAAGAATAGGGAGTGTGGGTGTGGGGCCTCAGAGCACTCTTGCCTTTGTCTCTGAGCCTGTGTCAGTGTCCTAGTGGCCAGAGAGAGAGCCCCTGATTGAGGCTTGTTGGAGGTCCCAGGAAGGGGAGAGAGACAATGGGAGGGACCTTGTTCCATTTTCTTTCTAGGTGGCAGCTATATCATCTTAAACCTGTCACCGAGGTGCAGATCTTGCTGTCTGGGACTTCAGGTGCAGGGTGCGTCCTGTCTCAGGCCCAGACCCCTGGTGCTGCCATACCACCTTCTTGGATTTCATTCTTTGACTCTTCCTGTCCTTGCAGCCCCTACCCTAGTCTGGTTCCCACCCTCCTCTAGTGGTAGCACAGAAGCCATCAGCTCTCTTTCTGCTTCCAGCCACTTACCCCACGCTGCCCCCAGGGTAATTGCCCCCACATACTGCTAGGATCATGTCAGCACCCTCATCCCTTTGTGGCGCTGCATTGCCTATGGAATGAGGAGTAATCTGTCCCACTTGGCAATACAGCTCTCTGTGATCTGACCCCCAGTAACCTTCCCTGCTGATCCCTGTCCTCTGTCCCCTGCCCCTGAAGTTTGCTTGCGGTGTTTCCTTAACTTGGCTCCTGTGCCCCATGTCCTAGTCCTCGCTTCTCAGTACTTTTCATTTTTCAAAGCCGTTGAGAAAAAATCTCTCAGAATCTGCTCCAAAGCCTCTTGAAGTCGTCCTGTCTTGCCCTCTGGTTGGTTGCTGACTTGATGTCTCCTAATAGTCTGGGACTCTGCTTCTCCAGTCAATCACAGCATATCCCTTGAACCTAGCACAGTGTCTATACTTGGTAATATTCACTGAGTCAGCTGAATGGACCCGAAGTGGGTTCAGGCCATCCAGAGGATGGATGGCATGGGGGCAGCTTCCAGGGGCCGTGGGAAGGTTGAGGGGGCTAAGTGCTGCAGGAGTCTTAGTCTGTCCTGCCAGGTGGTACCGACCCTCAGAGCTCCTCTGGGCCTGGCTTTTTAGACTCAGGGTATTCTATGGGAATGCCTTTCATGTTCCCTCTGACCCAGGCTCCTTCCACCCTGGAAATTTCAGGGGATGTATGAGGAGAAACCTGGCCATGCTTTATCCAGGAAGCCTGGTCCATCTTACCAATTTAGAGCAGCTGTTTGACATCTGGCTTAATCAGGGTTCTCTGTGGGGTGATGTTAGGGGCACAGAGTAGGCCAGCGCTGGGGGCCCTTGGAATGAAGCAGCCAGGGCTGCCGTGTCACAGAACATGTGGCAGATGGACTACACTCCTCGGTATGTTGGCCAGAATGGACTGGACTTGGGGGCCTCATTGTCAGCCATTGGTCTGCTTCTGCCTGGATAGACCACTCCCTTTGGTGTGCCCCTCGATCAAATGGAGCTGGGTTCCCCAACACCTCCCAGAGATCTTGCTGACTGCCAGGGATTTGGAAGTCTGCAGAGAGCCTGCCTGGGATTCTGCTGCCAGTCTACTCCTCCAGCCCAGGTTCTCTAAGCATTGCTAGAGGGGGCCCTGGATGCACTGGGACTCCTGAACCTGCCATGTTTGGAGCTGGCTTGCTTGTGATGTGACTTTGCTTTTGCAGGGGAAGCCCAGGCAGATGAGTGGCAGACTCAGAGGTAGACATGGGCCCAGCCTTGTGGTTTCTGACAGTAGACAGACATATGCATTTTTAGACCTCAGCACTGCCTTTCTCACTGTGCGATCTTATGGAAGTTATTTAAGCTCTCTGCTTTCCCATTTGTAAAAAGAGGAATGAGAATGTCTGCCTTGAAGAGTAGCCAGGAGAGTTTTACATGAGAGTACAGCACAGATAAAGCACCTAGCACAATGCCTATATCAGCTCCCTTCCCTTCTGCTCTCTGAGGCCAGGAACAAAACTGTCCTTTCTTGTATTGTCTCCTGCTCAGCCTTCCCTGGTCCAGGATGCAGGCAGCGTAGATTGAGCATGGCTATAGGTGCCTAGTCTTCTGAGTGTCTACCCAGGTGGCTGTGAGGGCTGGAGGAATAGGGAGGAGTGAGAGGTCTTGCCTTCCCATTGATTCATCCCAAAACCAGCCATGAATGGGACTGAGGTGGGGAGAACAGACTTCCCACTTGCTGTCTCCATGAGTGGACCAGGGAGGCAGCAGGCAGGCTCTTCGTGCAGTCCTTCTCCTCACCCCACTCCCTACCAGGAACTCTGATTCCACACTGAGCAGCCAGTGCTCTGCCCCTTCCCCCTCTCTGGGTTGGGTTGACAAATGCCAGGCCTGCCTACAGGTGATGCAGCCCGGATGCCAGCAAAGAGAGTTAAGCAGACGGGCTTCCTAGGGCGGCTGACATACTCTGGAAACAATCCAAAGCAGCAGGTGTAGGTGCTTCCTCACATGGTGCAGTACCCAGAAAGGCCAGGGCTCCAGAGCAGCGTTGGACAGCGGGCTCACAAACAGGAAAGGGCAGCCTGTCCTTGGAGGGTGCTGTGGGGTGCCCACCCTATTGCCTGTGCTTCAGATCAGCACAGGCAATGACTGGACTGAATTAAACGAAAATCTCATGTTACCCAGCTTAAATTGTTTTGAAAATTGCCCTTTGGTCTTGGAATGAAACCCAAAACCCTTACTATGGTTTTAAGACCCTACACAACCTGGCCCTGTCTACTTCTTTGGCTTTCCCCTACTCTCCCTGCCGCCCAAGCCACACTATTCTCTGTCTCATCCTCCAACCTGCCATGTTTCTCTCCTGCCTGAGTGTTTGCACAGCCACTGTTTCCTCTTCCAGGAATGCTTTCCTCCACTCACCCAGTGTGCTGGGTGACTTCTGTGATGAGAGCAGGGTCCTACTTGTAGAAGGTACTAAAATAATATGTGTTGATTGAATGGACCCTTAAGATGTGTGCTTTAATGAATGGAGAAGTGGGTAAAAGAATAGAACCTGATAGAAGTAGCATGAGGAGAGGACTCTCATCCAGGCTGCTGGGGTGTACATCCCAGCTCTGCTGCTTTGGAACTCCACAGAACTTTGGACAAGTTGCTCAGTCTCTGTGCCTGGATTTCCTTATCTGAAGGGTGAGGATGTAGAGTTAATTACATTCAAACAATAGCTGGCAGATGTTATCTCCGTTATTGTTATTCCTCATAGAGGCCACACTGAAGGCCCACCTCCTGCCCCAGACTCCGAAAAGTCCCTCTGATATATGCCATTTTAGAGCCGTGCCACTGACAGAGCACCCCATAACAATTGCCACCTCACATCTGTTTCTGTGGTGTGTTGGATGAATGCCCCTCTTTCTCCTACTAGACTTTAGGCTCCATAGTGCAGGAAGTGAGTTGACTTTGCCCACCATTGGATCACATACTAGGTGCTCCATCAGCATTGCATGTCTTGGGCGGCCTCTGGGTTTGCCCCTGAGCATGGGATCTCAGGGACACTAGGCCTGGTGCCAGCTCCTGCTCCAGCCTGGATGGGTAAAGAGTGGCCCTGTGCTCTAGTTGCCTGAGGTGTCCCCATTCCTGTCTCCCACAGGCACAGACATGGCTGTCTTCTGTCTGCTGTGCGGGAAGCGTTTCCAGGCGCAGAGTGCGCTCCAGCAGCACATGGAGGTCCACGCGGGTGTGCGAAGCTATATCTGCAGCGAGTGCAACCGCACCTTCCCCAGCCACACTGCCCTCAAGCGCCACCTGCGCTCACACACAGGTAGGCCGGCTGGGTGATGGGTGGATCAGGGTCTCTGGGAACCAATGTCTGGATTTACCTCCAAAAACAGGAGGTGCTGTGCAAAATTAGCCTTCAGCCCTTCTTGCTCAAGGGTTAGGGTGGGTTGGAGGATTCCTCGTGCTGGTAGATGCTGATAGTTCTCCCCATGTCACCATGTGGAACTTGTGTGCCCCATCTCTCAGTGCTCAGCAGAGAGGGAACTCATTAGAAACGTGGTCTTGGGCTCCGCCTCAGAAACCCTGATACTGCATTTGAGGTGGGGTGCAAGACTCAACATTGTTCATAGATATTCTCAAAGAATTCTGAGGACAGTGGACCCAAATCTCATTTTGAGAAAAACCAACCTACTTGGTCTCAAATTCCCTCTGCCACATACCCCCACCCTCTCCCTGGCCCCGTCCCACAGACCCACATTCCCGAGGTCAGCCTCCAGCTCTTAAGGAAGCGTTGCAGAAGTGGTCCTAATTGCTTCACAATAATAGAAGCACATTTTCTCTACTGGGGACTTAACCTTGTTTTGCAGAGTAAACAATGAGCTGTGAAATATCTTCATTTAGCCAGCTCCAGGTGATGGGGAGGAGAAGGGCTGTGAGTCAAGGAGGCTAGACCAGGTGCCACCACACCACCCTCTGGGTTTCAGGGATGGGACACTTAGTCTTTGAGGGCCAAGAGTCATTTCTTCCTTGTATCTGCCCCTCACCCTGCAGTAAGGGAATGGACAACTTAAATTCTGTCCTTAGTCTAAGACAAAAGTGGGTCCTTGTTGACGGTACATGGATAAAAGTTTACCCATTTCTGAATCTGCATGCACCTCTGCTGTGTGTTCTATCCTGGGTTTGGGGTGAGAGGCAGTGATGGGGTGGGGCCAGCAAGACAGATAGGCAGACTCTGTATCTGGGTTTGTGACAGGGTGTATATGCATGTCGGTTAGAGAAGGCATAAAAAACTGGATGCAGACAGGAATGGGTGGGTGAGCACTTTTTCTCCTCATTCTTGAGTCTTGTCACAGCTCAGGGATTAAATAGGCAGGCGACGCCTTTCATGGGTGGCAGCGCTGAACAAGGGAGGGGCTTTCTTTGCCACGGTCTCAGTGGGCCTGTCCTGCCAGCAGTGGGCATCCCCGCCAAGGAGCCTGTCTGAGCTCTGCCTTCTGGATGCCATTCTATTTGGGGGAGCATATTGTCTTAGCATCACCAATTCTGCTGAGAATAATTTAGAATTGCTGGCATAGGATGGGGAAGGTCCAAAGGGCAGGGCCTGACCAAAAGGACTAAGGAGGAAAGAATGCCCTTAAGAACTTCCTCTGCAATGCCTCATAAGCATCCCTTGAAGGTATATGAACTTTCCTGTCAACACCTCCCCCACTCTGTCCCCAAGTTCAGCCTTACCAAATGCCAGTCACCTTCAGCAACTTCTGAGGACACTCTGGGTCAAATCCCCTGGCTTCATGGGACTTGAATGGTCCCAGCCCTGCTAAGTCTACTGAAGGTATGCCCTGCTCTGCGCAGGCCACCTTCAAAGAGCTCAGCTATCAAAATGCCACATACTTCTATGTCAGTCATGGCTCAGATCTGTGGGAAGGGAGACGTAGTTTGGGAGAAGCACTTGCTTAATCTAGGACACGTGGAATGTGTGCCCTGCCTGTGTGTACACACACACACCTATCGATTTCCACACCAGTGAGCCTTTGTACACACAAGCCCTATATGGCTGAGCACACCCCACACAATGCCTCATTAATATTCCGTTGTTCTTGGCCCATGTGCTGCTGGGGCCTGGTATTTAGCATGGGCAGCTGTGTTTGGTAAGTTAGTCCAGCCGTGCTCTTGGCATTGATGGATCCCTGACTCACACGGCTCATCGTATAATAAACTCTCAGCTGTGCTGCATGGAGGGGCATGAGTTGCTGATGGGGATGGAACTGGCGTGGGGAGGATGACACTGGGCCTGGCCCGTACCAGGGAAACCACAAGGTAAGGACAGACCACTGTGGTCACAGGTGCACTGGGCAGGCCGGAGGGGGCTCTGAGTAGTCTCGTTTGTCCTGCACTTAATGTCAAGCTCATTAAAGAGGCTACAGAGTTAATCAACATACCACAAATTGGATTTTGAGTTCCAGAGCCAGTTTTGTGTGCATTATGGCAATGCTGGCATGATTAGCTCTCCGGGTGAGGGTTTCAGACCATGTGCTTGCCATGTTTCCAAAGCTCTGTGTGTGTGCACATGTGTGCACATGTGTGTGTGTTTAAGTTTTTCCTTTTTTTCCCCTGGGCTGACTCTGGAGGTTTCCTATTTAACCTCATTTAACATGTGATCCACTTTGTAATTAAATTATAAAAATCTGATTAAACAAACCTCTCTGTCTTAACCCTTTGTTTTTTAAACTCAGGGCTCTCCCCACCCCCCAGAGGGGAAGGCACAGGCGCCAGTTGCTCCCAGCCAGGTGGCTTCGGATGTACATTTTAATTACCGGGTCTGGCTGAAGTCTCCCATGGCCTTACTTACTTACTTACTTACTTTATTTATTTATTTATTTATTTATTTATTTATTTATTTATTTATTTATACCTTAATGAGGATACAGAATCCTTGATTAAAGTCGTAATCATTGCTGATTCAGTAAGGAGGGGTCGCTGGATGTCAGACAGGCTGTGTGCTCAGCCGTCTACACAGAGAGTGGCATGCCGGCACAGGCACGCACACACCCACCTCACCAGCTAATTAAGACCAGGGTCTGCATGGGCCTCTCCTCCCCTTGGGTTGGGTGGGGCTGGCAGCTGGGGCAGGCAGTCTGCACAGCCCTGGCAGTGAGAGCACAGGCAGGTGCTGAGAACCCCGGATCTGCATGTAAGGGACTCGGTGCACGTGGCTCAGCTAGGGCAGTGCCCCACAGACTGGTGAGAGGTGGCTCTGCTCTCTGAGCTTTTTCCTATCTGACTTCTCAGTGGAATTGCTTCTCCCACCCCTGTATGCCCGCGGTGCTTCTTGCAAATCTTTCACCCATGAGAGAGCCCGCCAGTGGGCAGAGCCCAGAATCCACTCCCCACAGAGCCTTAAAAACCCTTCAGAGCCATCAGAAGAGATGAGAATTTATGTGGGTGCAGGGGCCTGCATTCAAGAGCGGGGAGCTGGGGGTAGCGGCCTGAGAGAAGAGACTAAAATATCATTTTAAAGAGGAAGTGAAGGCACAGGCATGCGAGTCTATAACGAGAAGGACAATTTATGCCCAGGCACGAGCGCAGTTTGACATGGGGATAATGAAAAAACGTAGGTCATTGTGGATGACTTAAACCTTCAGCAGCTGAAGAAAATGTATGAAATGCAGAGGACATTACACGGTTGGCAGCCCCGCACATCTGCAGGGGGACAAGTGAAATACAGTGGGCCATTCTTTACCATAAACTGTGGTTGTTGGAGATGCAGCCCAGAGAAATTGTAATTACAGTGACAAGACGAATCAGCGATATTTAAATATTCATGAACAAAGTCTGGGGTGATCAATCTATCTTTATTGTCTGTGCCTTCACTCCTCTAATAAATAAGTAGCTGAAGTCTTCACCTTTTATCCCACAAAGCCCCCACTTTGGGTACAAAACGAAAAAAGGTTAATGCCCACACCCGAACCCAAGTGCTCACCTTCCAGGGACATTGGAACACACAGCAAGGAGGCCGAAGCACACAGCTTCCAGGCCGAGGAAAGGCAGTTCTCCCCGAGCTTCACATGTCCAACATCCCCGAGTGTCTGCTCTGGGTTGTCCTTGTGTTTCACGCTGAGGCTTCAGGGATGCACGGAGCTCCCTTTTTATCCTTGAGGTGCTTCCATTTAGAAGCATGGGGGCATGACAGTGGACACAGCACAACATGTCAGTTAGCAATCGGAGACGTTTCCAGTGTCCAGGCTCTGGAACCAGACCAGACTCGGCTACTTGCTTGCTATTTAACCTTGGAGACTATGTTTAAGCATCTCTAAGCATCTGATTTTTCTCATCAGTAAAATGAAAATAGTAGCAATATGTTTCTTGTAATATAGTTGCAGTGATTACATGATATGATCCATGTGAAGTTCTTAGTACAGTAGGGAGCACTCAACAAAGATGTGGGCCATTTTAATTAGAAAGTGTCATAAAAATTATACTACTACTGCTAAAAGAACAAAATGCTGGACTTTTTTTCCTCATTGGGGACAGAGAAGAAAGTGTAACTCATTTTGCCTGAGGAGCTAAAGAGAGGCTTCCAAATGGGGTGATTTTTGAGCTGGGTCTTGAAGGATGACTAGGAGTTTGCTGGGGAGAGACAGAGAAATCAGGCAGAGAGAACAGCTGTGTAAAACCGGAAGAGGAAAAGAGCAGAAGGCATTTGGGGAATAATGTTCTCATCATTCCCCAAATTGGAGGGACTTTTTAAAATTAGGTTTGTCAGGCCAGAGTGGTTTGTCATACCACTCTGACCAGAGGGAAGAAAGAGAGGTCATCAGAAGCAGAGAGGTGAGGTATCAGAGCCCCCAGGTCTGCTCTCCCTTGTGGGAGCCTGCCTTCTGGGGACTGCTGTTCATCGCTAAACCAAATGGGCTTTCTTTTCCTGAGACTGGCCCATGACCCATGGATGACCACTGGGCCACAGGAAGGTATGGACATGTGTGAACACGTACTCCCTGTTCATGTTGGGGAGCCGGCAGAGGCTGGGCGTCCTTGTGTCATTTTTACAGGTGGTGAATGCAGGCAGTCTCCTCCTGGTGTACTGAATTTGCCCTGCTCTCCCCTAAAGTGGGAGCAGAGGATAAGCAAGGGTGTGAACAAGTCCCTTGTCTTCACAGGCGACCACCCATATGAGTGTGAGTTCTGTGGCAGCTGCTTCCGGGATGAGAGCACACTCAAGAGCCACAAACGCATTCACACGGGCGAGAAACCCTACGAATGCAATGGCTGTGGCAAGAAGTTCAGCCTGAAGCACCAGCTGGAGACACACTATAGGGTGCATACAGGTACTGAGGGCCAGAGACGACACCTGAGCTGGGTCTGGAACCTGCATGGGGGTGGGGTGGGGGACAGATGGTTTCCCAGAGAAGCCCAGGTCTGAACCAAAGAGCAGAACAGGTTCTGTTAAGGCTTTGTATGTTGACCCGAGTGCCACTGACCCCTTGAAAGGCTGAGGCAGACCTTGCTAATCATTCAGGGCACCCTTTCTGTGAACCCAGACTAGTCCCCCACACAGCTATGCCAATAGTTCACAGATCATGCAAGATCATGTCTATTTGTGAATCCTGAATTAGGTTTCCTCAATTAGCTGAAAGTGAAGGTCAGGATAATTCTTTACTTGATGGTTACAACAAGAATTAGAGGGCATTGAGTTAGGTTATGATGAGGGTTACAGTTAGGTTCTGAGATCAGAGGAGCAGATATATTTATTAAACCTTGTGTGTGTATAATGTTTTACCATTTCAGTGGGACTTCACATTCCTTTTTACATTAAAGAAATGTGAGCTACTGTCCTCCCGGGGGTCTGAGGATAGAACAAGTGGAAGTGGTCCCCTTACATCCAGAACTGCCAGAGTGAATGCCAGAGCTGGACTGCACCTGCTTGTGGAAGTCAATTTTGCACATCTCTTCCCAACTGCAAGTTCAGTGGCATCACCTTGGTTTCTTAACATTGGCCATGGTGGGCATAGTCACAACATGGCCATGGGCAAATGCTATAAATCCAGGCTTCGGGGGGAACCAGTAGTTACACATTTTATCACCAGTACACCACTGGTTGGGGGAAGGTAGATATTCAGAAGGAGTTCCTCTGAGGATAAGAGGCAGTGGAATCTGGCAAACTAAGAAGGCCCCCTGGATGAGGGGAGATAGCTGTGCTTTGAGAGGAGAGGAGAGGGGATCTCTGTGGGAGGGTTGGAGTGGGCAGAGGGAACAGTAAGCAGAGGCTACGTGTTGTCATAACTCTGCATCAGCTGCAAGGAGGGGATGGAGTGCTCATTGCTGACCACTAGAGTGATCCAGAGGATTCCCCAGAGCCCCGGGGCTTCCTTAGCCCCTTGTTGGGTATATGACCTGGCAGGTGGATCATTAAATGCATTGGCAGTGACTATTGTAAATAGCAGGTCAATAGTTAGATCACTTTGGCTGTTCATTACTTCATTATTTGCTGGGCCTCTGCATGGAAGAGTATTGATAGCGAGATGGCTGGCCAGTTAATTACCGTATTGAAACAAGGCTCCCTCACGCACTCTGCTCAGCTCCAGGGGACTCTGACAGAGGGGCAGTTGGGTAACAGCTAGTCCGTGGCTGTGCCTGCCCAGGTTTCCTGTCCCTCCTCCATTTTAAGCCCAGAGGGACAGTGGGGTCCAGGACCTCATGTGATGACTAGCAAGCCCCAGATGCAGCTTGTTTGAAGGATGGGGTTACCTCAGTTTCACCCCATCTGTACTCCCCACTATCTGTAGCCCTGTTCTCCTAGAAAGGACTGCTGAAGAGCCATCCCCAAGGAAGTTGTGGGCCTCCAGTGCCCTTTCTAGACCTCCATTTCCCTCCTTTGGAGAGGAGGGATCTGTGCTTCTGGAGAGTGAAGAAGAAGAAGGCCAGGGGCTAGAACTGTGCTACAAACCTGCAGCCACCAGCTATATGTGGCATTTAAATCAGTTACAGCAAAATCATATGAAAAGCATAGTTCCCAGTCACACTAGCCATAGTTCAAGGCACTCAACTGCCACATGGACTAGCGGCTACCCTCTGGGGTGATGGCATCTACTATGTGGAAAGTGCCGCACTAGAGGTACAATCTCCGACAAGCCCACAGGTGGACTGAGGGCCCAGAGTGTCCCTGTGAAGGCCCTCACAGCCTCTCCCTCTGTCCTCCTTCCACAGGTGAGAAGCCCTTTGAGTGTAAGCTGTGCCACCAGCGGTCCCGGGACTACTCGGCCATGATCAAGCACCTGAGGACGCACAACGGCGCCTCACCCTACCAGTGCACCATCTGCACAGAGTACTGCCCCAGCCTCTCCTCCATGCAGAAGCACATGAAAGGCCACAAGCCTGAGGAGATCCCACCTGACTGGAGGATAGAGAAGACTTACCTCTACCTGTGCTACGTGTGAAGCCAGGCCAGGCGGGGGCAGAGAAGTGGGAGTGAGAAGAGAAGAGTTAGAGCAGGATGAAGTCAAGGAAGGATTGTGCACAAAAACAGAACAAACAAAAAAACAACAAAAAAAACACATACATACATATGGATAAGAGAAAAAGAAGAAAAGGGAAACCTGATAGGTGTCTAGCCTTGGATTCTCTGGGGCTCCAGGTGACTTGGAAACCTGGCCACAGCCCCTTTCAGGGGCCTCCATCCTCCTCTTCTGGCTGGGAGGTGACCTGGTTTTCTTGAGTGGGGTGGAGGTGGTTTTGTTCAGCTCAGATGGTGGTATGTGTCTCTCTTCCCCCTACCCAGACCCTCTTTTTACATCCAGAAATGGAGGCTAGGGAGAAGGTAAAGGGTGTTCTGGTCAGAGCCAGACAGTTTCTGTCTGCCATCCTCTGACTCTCAGAAGGAGGCTGGGGGTGGAAGCAGGGACCTGCAGAGGGCGGGGCCAGGCTCACAGAGTGGCAGCCCTCATCGGCTGGGGGTGCATTGGAGTGGGAAGGGCTCTTCCCTTCCCATCACTCTGTTCACCTATTGTGTCCCTCTGCTCTTCCCCATCTGCGTGTCCCCTCAAGGTCTTCAGGAGCCTCATGGCTCCAGCCTCTCCCCCAGCTCTTTGTCCCTGTCTCCCCTTGACCCCTGTCCTCCAAGTCCAGGGAGTGCCCAGCCCCCATGGATGAGGCAGGGTCTCCCTCCTCCTCCAGCTCCATAGTCAGGAAGCTGTGTCTGACCCCAGAGTCCCACTCCCACCCTTAGCTTCTGAGAACACAGAACAGATAGAATAGCCCACCCTTGGAAAGCCCTGCTCTGAGCGAGATTTTCTGCCAAGATGCTTTTGCTTTCCACATGGAAAAACCTAACTAAATACATGCGGTCCCACCACACAGGCAGACACGAATCCCCAGCACCCTGAGCTCAGTCCCTAGGAGGAGGAATCCATGAAAGGGTTCGTTGTCCAAGTGGAGGATGGGGATGTCCTTCTCCAGAAGTGCCCTCCACCTGGAGAAGGGAACACCTGCCCAGGAGTCAGGGTCAAGGTACCGGCCAAGGGAGGGCTCTGCGGAGTCATTCTGGGGACACTTAGAACCACCCAGACCTGGTGAGTGCAGTGGAAAACCCAGGTGGACAAGGTGGCCCAGAATTCCCGGCTCATAGTGCACTCCCCCCACTTCCACAGGGAGGAAGAAGAGGAAGAGTTGTTGAAAGCGCTTTGGCCTTGTGTTCTTTTCTGTGTCCTCAGTTCCCCTGTTAGCACATTGTACTTGAATTACCTCAGTTTTTTGTGACCTCATGAGCTTTTGTAACCCCTTTATCCCTTTTTTGGTTGGGGGTTGGAGGGATGGGGAGGGTATTCTTTTCTGTTACTTGTGTAAATTAATAGTTGGTTTAATACCCATCAGCTGGCCAAGACCCCCATGCCGGAGCACTGGAAGGAGCTGTACTCAAGGAAGGATCAAGGACCGAGTGCTCGGGATGTGCATGTGGGGCTGGGTCAGCAGCGGTTGGGGGAGGGGTGGTGTCCCGGGGGTCTCCGGAGTCCCTGTTGGCTCTGCCCAGGCATGAACTCGTCGTGCCCAGCATCAGTTCAGCCTGTGACACTCTGGACAAGACCCCCTTTCTGACAATTTGCTGGGTCATTCGGGTCTGGGGGCCTGTGTTGCTCACATCCTTGTGCTTATGTGGCCCTGCCTCTGTGTGCATTATCATTACCAAAATTGGTCTGTTTTCCTGGCTGCTGCACGCTGTTCCAGTCTTGGTTTTGTTGCGTTGGGGTGGGAGTGTTGTTTTTCTGAAAGCTACCTCTTACGTTTGTCCAGTTCTTTTGTCCCCCTTTCTGCCTCTGGCTCTGCTGCTCTGCTCCCCTTCTCCCCAGTCTCCCCACCCTGATTTTGGGAAAGCACATTTGCATTATTTGTGTTCACTGTGGGAGGGGCTGTCATTTCATCTCATGCTTTATTTGTAAAAGTTTTTTTTTCTTTCCTTTCTCTCTCTGAGAAAGTTGTGGCTGCGTTATCTTAGGTTTTAAGAAAGTGGTTTAGGGAAGTGGTTTGGGGAGAAGGGTTGTGAGGAACATAGGGAAGTCGGAGGGACGGGTGCTGCTGTGACCACCCCCCTCCCCCGTCCCTCAGCACCACCCGTCCTGCCTCCCCTGCAATCTTGCCCACCAAATCTGAAGGCCTTAAACATTGTGTTGGGGGTGTATTAACTGGGGGGGAACTGTGTCACTAGACTGTTGATTGGGGATGTTAAAGTAGGGAGGATGCTATTTTGCGATTGTAATAATGACTTAGTGCTTTGGAAAGAAAAAACGGTTAAACTTGAAATATGTGACTAGAGCAGTTGTTGTGTCTATAATGTGAAAAGAGTGAAATCTTTGGGGGAGGAGCCATCTGTAAGAAATCATTATGCACTATTGCTTCCTCCCCCTACCTGGGAAGGAAGGAGGACTGCCTGGCCCTCAGGGGATCTGTACATCCCAGAAAACAGTACTTTAACAGCAAGATGTCATTCAGCTTTGGTGGGGAAGGGGAAAAAAAATCAAACTATTCCATAGACCTAGCTGACACCTCGCCCTGTTCCCCGACCCTTCCCATGCAGGCTGGGTCTCCTCCCCTGTTCATAAAAGCTGAAAGGGTTGAGCTAATCTAAAAATTGTACTATTTTTGTAACGTTTGTTAGTTCCTGTGTCAGTTCTGCAGGACCTTGCCCTTTCCTTTTGTAATGTGAATAGGAAAAAAAAAAAGACAAAAAAATCCCTACCACCACCACCACCAAAAAGATATCCCTTTGTGTGTATGTGTGCGTGTGTGCTATTTGTGCAAGGTCGTGTGTTGAATCACGCAGTATTGTAGTCGGCTGTTGCAGCATTGGATGGTACTAAGTCAGCGCCTGTCTGTCCCCACTGTCCCTGAGGAAACCCTGACAGGGAGGCAGGAGAGAGGGGCAGGACGCACGGTTTCTGGAGGACACTGGGTGGGAGACTTCTCTGTCTGTGTTTGCTTCATTCCCCCCAGCGCCCCCATGAAGACTTGGACACCCCAGACAGAGTCCAACATGCCTCTTTTTTAGCTTCCCATTCACAAATGCAATCCCACCTTGCCAAGGCTTTCTTGGCCAGCCTAATGGCCAAGGTGAGAGTCGAAAGTTATCTGGAGGCTTTAGATGTATCCGGATAAAGGGGGCTGAGGAGGCTAGGAGGGTAGAGGCTTCTCCCCACGAAAGTGAGATCTGAGTGGTTTTACTCCCCTCTTCTTTCTGCCAACTGCTGACAACCCTACTCACTGCTGCCTTATCCAGCATCTAAAAATGTCTCCAGTCCATGTCTCTTGATGCTTTTGGTGACATTTACCCCTTACTAATGTGCTTTTCCCCTCTTCACTCCTTCACTCATTCAAAGCATTAAAATCCTATGTGTGTATATAGGATAGACAGATATATATATATATACACACACATATATATATAGTGAGATATATATATATATATATAGCAAGAGAGAGATATAAGATAGTAAGTATCAGTGCTGCTTTGGAGGAGGCCACAGATATGAGGAAGGGGCACAGGGGTGGGTAGGGGAGGCTGGGAGACCCCGTGATTCAGTACAATCCAGGGATACAATGTGGGCTTGTTTAATCTTTGTGCCTGAACAGTTTTCCATGTTTAGGGGGGAAAAAAGGAAAAAATTCTGCTGCAGTTTTTCACAAGTGTATGGTACCCTTCAGGATGCTATTGGTACAGCCAGCTGCCGGGTGTTGGGGTGTTGAGGCCCGGGAGGGAGAAGGCCCTTTGGGTTACCTCCTTCCAGGGGAGTGAGCAGTGATGGGGGTGGTCTCTGGACTCCATCTGTGAGGCGTGGCAGGGGGCGGACTTGTGACCAGTTCCTTGCAAGCCCAGTAAGAGTGAAAACTGGGGGCACAGGATGTGAGACAGAAAAGCAGGAAAAGATCAGACTGTTGGTTCATTTTTCCTGGGCCTATGTTACATTTTTTTTTCTCTCCTCCCATCTTGCTTCCTCCTTCCTGGAGCTTCATGGCAGGCAGCACTTACCTGGATATTTCAGCAGGAGGTTAAAAAAGCCAGACCAGCCCTTCACAGTGAAACTGATGGGTGGAGGAAAAAGGCAGAGCTGGCCTGGAGAGGAGTGGGAGACAGACCAGGGAGGTTGGGGTGTCGCGGGGAGGGTAGGGAAAGAGGTGTACAGGCCTGAGAGCCAGCAGCCCTGCCTCCCTGAGTCCTTGGTGTCCCACTTGTAGACAGGGTACCTGCCTCCTGGTGTGTGTCCTAGAATTTGTCCACAAAGTGTTATGCATGATTTTTGTAAGGTGAAGAAGCCGTGGTGGTGCACCCTGACATCAACCCATATATATAAAGATAAATATATATATATATATATATGTATGTAAATTATAGCACTGAGGGCCCTGCTGCCCTGCTGGACCAAGCAAACTAAGCCTTTTGGTTTGGGTATTATGTTTTGTTTTGTTACTTGTTTTTGTGGCTTGTCTTATGTCGTGACAGCACAAGTGCCAGTCCGATTGCTCTGTACTACAGATAGTGTTTTTAATTAATTGATGTTCTAGTTCATGTCTACCTCAGCACCTCCTCTTAGCCTAATTTTAGGAGGTTGCCCAATTTTGTTTCTTCAATTTTACTGATTACTTTTTTGTACAAATTCTCTCTCTCTCTCTCTCCCTCCCTTCCTCCCTCCCTCCCTCCCTCCCTCCATCCCCTCTCTGCCCCTCTCTCCCTTCCCCCTTCTGCCCTCTTCCCCTTCCTCCCCTCTCATTTCTGTTTGTTCCATTCTCTCTCTCCCCACCCCCTCCTGCCCCTGACACAGCCCAGTGACCCCGAAGTTGTGCTTGCCAGTCATATCTGTCCTGGTCCCCAAGCAGTTCCCTCAAAGTTGTGCGGTCCTGGTTGCAGCTTTCCGCATCTGCCTTTGTTTTGTGTAGATTGATGCGTTTCTTTGTAATTTCAGTGTTCTGACAAGATTTGAAAAAGAAAAAAATGAATTTACTGCTGCAGGTTTTTTTCTCTCTCCATGTGTCACTAAGTGAAGTTTGTGCCTTCTATAGCAAAGAGAATATTTTTTACATCCTACTAACAGTAGATTTTTTTGTAGTGAACATTTTTTGTATTTTTATTTATAAGTCTCATAAGAAAAATAGCAATGTTCAGTTGTATACCTTGAATCTGCAGTTAGAAGAGAATAAAGTTAATTCAGTTGTCTCTGGCTTGAAGTGTCCCCATTTTTAAAGCCTGGTTTGTCTTTTCTCCCTTTTCTTGGGTGGGAAATATGGTAGAGGAACTGAGAGTTCTGTCTGGGGTGGGGGAAGAGAAAGCTCTGGATGATACACATGCAGCCTTATTATGTGTTACTTTTATGCCATATTTACCAGGCACATACCCACTCCATGACATATTTTTCTAATACTTTAAAAAAAAATAGTGTTGGGCCTTGGCCAGGTGGCTCGGATTGGTTAGAATGTCATCTTGATACACCAAGATTGTGGCTTCAATCCCCAGTCAGGGCACATACAAGAATCAACCAATGAATGTATAGGTAAATAGAACAGCAGATTGATGTCTCTCTCTCTCTCTCTCTCTCTCTCTCTCTCTCTCTCTCTCTCTCTCTCTCTCTCTCTCTCTCCCTCCCCCTACCTTTCTCTAAAATAAAAAAAAAATTAAAGATTTTATTTATTTTAGAGAGAGTAGAAAAGAGGGAGAGAAACACCAGTGTGTGGTTGTCTCATGCGCCCCCTACAGGGGATCTGGCTCATAAGCCAGGCTTGTGCCCTGACTGGGAATTGAACCAGCAACCTTTTGGTTCACATGCCAGCACTCAATCCATTGAGCCACACCAGCCAGGGCATAAAATCAATAAAATTTTTAAATAGTGTTAAATACAGTACTATCATTTGATTCTTGGCACAATACAATGCATGAAGTAGGCACTGGTTCATTTATTTCTTGAACACAGGCATTCATTCAGTAAGTTGGACCAGTTACTGTTGGAGGCCTTGGCAGCACAGCTGGGCTGGAACAGATGAACCCCTGCCCTCAGGAGGCTGATATTCTAGTTAGCCACTGAGTCAAAATCTGTACACTTCAGTTATTACTTTCTTGGGATCACATAGCTGGTAAGTCTCCAAGTCAGAACTTGTAACCAATCTGACATCAAATTAGTTTTCCCAGGACTCCAGAGGCAAGACTGTCTTCTGTTTGGTCTTTATTAATAGAGACATTTTTAACTTCTTAGCTTAAACAAGCTTCGGAAATCAGTCAACAAGAAGCTACCACCCAATTTAAGGTCCCTGGGTCTGTGGCAGCCAAGCTCTGAAGAAAGGAGATTGAAATAGGTGGCAGGTGGAGGCCCAAGCCCAGCATCACCACTGGGAAAACAGAGCATTTCCACAAAACTCGGGTGCCATTCCCTCCCATCTCCTCTCCCTGTCTCTGGGCCAAGGCTTCCTCTCTAGACCTTGCTTCTTCCCTCTCACTGGGGATGGGAGCTCTGCTCTTGTCTGGACCTGGAAAACCAATTCCACCCAATCCTAGGTGTGCTGGCTCAGTGCCTCTGCCCAAGGCCATCCTGCCCGCCCTGCTCTGACCAAAGCAATCCATCTGCTCACTAAAACCTGGGGGCACAGTGACGATGGCTGCAGGGCCCTCCTGGGGTGGGAAACAAGGCTCGGGCCCGGCCTGACCTGCATTATTGGGTGTCACTGGGAGCTATCACTCTGCACCCTGCTGACATGGCAGTCTGTGAGGAAAGGCCCATTCTTTGCCCCACCCGGCTGCCTGCTCTGGGCATGGGTTAGAAGAGTAGCCTTTTAGCCCCCTTGGCTCCTGAGGTCTGGGGTCTGCAGGACCCTGGGGTCCCTGAGTGGAGAACCACATGGGGCTACACTTAACCACCCTGAAAGCCCTTCCCAGGAACAAGACACCAGGGCATGTTCCCAGCCCCTCTTAACCCAGCTGGCTTTTCTGTCTGGCTTTACTTTTCTCCTGTCCTTTCCTCTCTACTCTTCTCTTTCATCGTTCCTTTCCTTTGTCTCTTCTTTCACCTAATCTTTCTTCCCTTTCTCCACTCCTGTCTTTCTCTCTCGTTATTTCTCATGTTTTTTTTCTTTTCCTTTTGTGTCTCTGTCCCACATTCTTTCTTTCTCTCCCCATATTTCTCATCTCAGAAAAAAAGCCTCCTCTCCCAAAAATACATTTGATTTGATTTTGAGCCTCTGTCCCCATTCCTCCATGCCATCCATCCACCCATCCCTTTCTTCTCTGGGTCCCCACTGATTCCCCAGGCCTCACGCTCCTCCCCCATGCTCCCTCCCCGCACAGGCCTCAGCTTTCTCTTGACAGATGGGAGGGCAGTGAGCACTCCCTCTTTAAAACAACATTTAATCACCGTTTTCTGTTCTTGGACATCAAAGCTGGGGCTTAGGCACTGCACTGGGGTCGCTGTGGTGCAGGCTCTGGGGGAGAGGAGGTGAGTGAATAGGGGCCAGGCTGAATGGGCTTTGTGTGGCCGTCAGGGTCTGCCTGCTTTACGTGCTCTTTGACCCAGATATGATCTCATGGAGAGAAAGGGGCCCTGGCCAGGCCAGCCTGAGAACGCTCCTCCGTCTGACTCTATCCTCCTCCCTCCCTCCTGAGGCCAGACCACAGCTGCCCTCTGCCCCAGCCCTGCAGCAGTGGGCAGCCTCCTCCAGGACAGGGCTTGCCAGGAGGGCACTCTGCTG